ATAGATTATAATGCTATTTCACAATATTACTGTTTTTACTGTAGTTTTTAATCCATTGAATGCATCCTTGGTAAGCATATAAGACTTTCAAAAACATTTAAAATATCTAATACTAATACCACACACTTCTGAATCGTAGTGTTCATCTTCTAAACTTCCATATCAACTTTTAAACAATTAGACATTCATGTGCATAATAAAATATTCCCCATAGTCCAGATGTGTATGCCAGCAACCCAAGTCTAGATATACTCTGCTGAAAGCTTTACAGATCAAAATTGTATCAGCGTAATTTTCAGATTGGCAATCGTGTGATACTAGCTAATGCAATTGAACTAATAGCCCTGCTGTTGAGTTCGAAATGGATGAGGATTAATGGGAAGACAAACTATATTTGCTAGAAATTTTTTGCATTGTCCTCTCACTAACTTTCTCAATAGCTGATTTATTTCCTTTGAATTTAATTTTCTGTGTAGGAAACCAGGTGGATATATGTCTGATGCGGATGATGTAGATTAATGAGTCTTAGGGAAGCCTTATTAATTATTTATCAAGATAAAATGCAGATGATGGTAAAGGAACCTGTTTAGTCGAGTCCCACAGGATGCTAATTATTTGCCCCGCTAATTGTAAACTACACTGTGCAAAATCAGCATCATTAGCACCCACTGGGACAATTTATAATGATTAGTCTAGCCGAGAACTTGGATACAGTGTTTTGGCTTTTTGATCAATCAATGTCATAAGCTCTTAGGATGACAGCCATTTGACAGAGCAGATCTTCTCGGATCAGATTTGCTGCACCTTTCCTTTCTTCAACGCATTTATAAGCAGGAGCCAAGATACGAGTTCATGTGCCTGTGAAGACAGAGCCCTGTCCTGCAGTAGTGGGGCTGAACAGCATGTGGACTGTTAGACTCTATTCTCCCAGCTGCTGTTTGTGTGTGCCAGATTTCTCTCACCGCTGCTGACAAACCATGCAGACAGAGAGAGAGAGAGAGTTCACAGGCATCGGTATTGTATATGGTATTCATTACATGGCGAAAAAAATGTATGTAGACTCAAATGATGAACAGATTTAGCTATTTCAACTACACCCATTATTAATAGGTGCATATAATTGGTTTGAAAATAAATGTCCTGCAAATGCATATGTGTCCACTAGTGCTGTGTTCAAAATATCGATACGACGATGTATCGTCACAGAGATTTGACGATACGAGTATCGATACAGCTGGCCCCACTTAACATCAAATTGCTTCTGTTTCACACAAATGCTGGCACAGACATGCATGTTCGGCTAGAGTCGCTTTGAACTCGTGCATCTTCGGAAGCGGAGCTGCGTGGAAAGTTACAAAAAATTTAGTGCACACACCGCCACGCGAAACGACGTCGCGCGCACTCAAAGCGAACTTCCGCCAACACCGCGACGACATCATATTTGCCGCGCGCACCTAAGCGAACTTGTAGATGTGTAAAAAATTTTTTTAAATAAAATTAAACACTTGCGGACGCATCGAGTATAAATCAGCCTTGAGCGTGTGTGCGTTAGATACAGTGAAGACAGCGCGTTAGTTTAGAACGTAGAGAGTGTGTTAATTTGTGCGATGATAACCTACCAGCAATGTAAATGATTTTTTAAATATATTAGAATGAGTACATTACAATATCTCTGCCAATAGTTAGAAATGGTAGAAATGGCAGCAGTGTTTAATAAACAGCTGTTTTTATAAATTCTTCTGAGGTGAAATTCAGTGCAGTCAGTGCAGTCC